TGGTGCCCAACCCTTAACACCAAAGGAAGGAGGAAGGGGAAAAGGAAAGGGAAACGGAAAGGTAGGAAGGAGAGGAAAAAGTCAAGGCGTTATGAGGTCAAGAGTGAGCGACCGATTACCTTTAGTTGTGGAGGATTGCAATCGGTGAATTTGAAAGAAATATGTAAGAAGGCATGGGTCGAGAAGATACCATTCAGATCGGAGGGAGGTAAGCTATGGGTACAAAAATGGGACCAAGTTGTGAAAGAGATTGGCCAAACAGTGATTAGGTTGAATGGTATGGAGAAACCAATTCGGGAGCCAAAATCGGAGGTAGAAAAAGGTGGGGCCGTGGAGGTGGTAAAATGGCAAGGAAGAACGTCGACGAAGATGAATGCGGAGCGAAAATGGGAACTGCAGCAGGTTCTCCGGAACCCATGGTACAAGAGGAAATTGTATAGTTATTATGATTTGGAAAAGCTGATGCAACTGGTGGTGGTGGTAGACCTTTTCTCAAGACAAGCATTGCGCAAGAACTTGAAGGATACGCTGGCTGGCTGGTATACTGTGGAAGAGATTCCGGATTAACATCAGGAAGAAAGTGTGTGTTAGCTTCACCTATGATCCGAACTTATCTCTGCGGAAATGAAGGGAGCTGGTGTCAAGTAAGATCCGTATGGAACTGCCTCCATCTCTGGTCAACTATACGTGTCGGAGGCTCCTGATGGTTTGGAAACGAAACCAGATTGCCAGTGAGATGCTCCACAACCATCGAACCGCTTCACAGCGTTTCGTGGAAGTCTGCTCTTGCGCAGACAGCGCTCTCCCACGAAAGGACGGTCACGTACAGTGCAAAATCAGTGAGGTGGACGGGATACACAAGTTCGTACTGAATGCACGAAACGTAGTAAATGAGGGAGGGGAGGGAAGGAAGGACAAGGCTACGAGGGAAGTTAACGATAGCCTGACAGCCTTGGGATTACGGTCATTGGTAAGTTTACAGGAGATGGACCACTGTGTGAATGGGAGAATAAGTGTACTGAGTGAGTACACAGGGAAGGTACGGGAGGTTAAGGAAATGTGTTGCGAATTAGTATGCAGTGTGGTAGACAGAAACGTGGCAGACACAGTGATAATGTGTCCTACGGTCTATGCCAAGGGCATGAAGGAAGTGTTTGGGGGTAACGATAGCTTCTCCGCCACTTGGGAGAGTGAGGCCCAAGTGATTGCACAATGTGAACAAGAGTACAAGCAGGAAGGTTTGGAGAGAGTGGGAAGATGGGACAAGAATGAACGGGTGGGAAGAGCCTACATCATGCCTAAGAACAAGGATATATGTAGATTTAGGCCCATGAGTCCATCTTTCGCGGAACCGTCGAAGACCGCAGGGAGAAGGGTGGCAAGAGCACTAAACCACCGGCTGTTTTTATTGCCGAAGTCTATGCATTTTAATTTGAAATCAACCGGACTGTTGAAGGATCGGGTGAAGGAAGCAAATAAATGGGTGGCAACGAAAGGGAAGGGGGAACTCGTGGGAGCTGCTTTCGACATTATGGAGATGTTTAGTCAGCTCCCGCACGACCCCATAATAACAGCAGTGGATTGGCTATTGAACTGGTATAGGCAGAAATGGAGAGCGATGGTCAGCATCCGGAGGAGGGGGAAGGGTGCGGCATTTGTGCTGGGAACGAATTCTGGATGGAGATTAGTTGTGACGAAATCAGGAAGATGGTCAGTTTTGAGCTGAGGAACACGTTTGTGGTTGCAGCAGGAAGGCTCGTTCAGCAGCACGTCGGGATCCCAATGGGGCGAATGAAAAAACATCTCGGCCAGGATCCCAATCGGGATCCCAATAGGGCTCGTTCAGCAGCACGTCGGGATCCCAATGGATCCCAACGGGATCTAATAAGTAGCCCCCCACTGGCATGCATTCTATGTGCGGCAAATGAATTTTCGTTCTTATCGAATCTCGGTGCAGACAGAACCTTGGTAAAAGGTTGGAGGTCGATCGATGACGTCACCATTCTCATCTGTTGCCCAGCAAGGAACGGCGCAGCACGGCGAGAACGAGTAATGAGGATCTTTGAGAAGGCATATGACAACAGATTGACTTTGAAACGAACAGACGAAGGGAAAGGCGTATGGGATTTCTTGGGTACACAGGTAGAGATCAGAGGAAACCAGGTGACTTGCCAGAGCTCCCCGAAGAACTTTGATCAGGTCTGGGATCAGGAAAATGAGTTTTCTTATCGTACCTTTCAAGATTTTGGGTCGTTCTCGACAATGAGACAGAAGAAGGCTGTGATAACAAGCGCATTACACCGAATCCGGGCGATGACGTCTTCAGACGAATTAGCTGGCCTCGGGTTACTGACGGTCAAAAGACAGCTGCCGCAATGGATTTTCAATGAATGCTTGGGCAAATTCACTAGTAAACACGCACCGGGGTGGGGAGGATGGAATAAGAAACTAGGGGGGTGGTAGACGGAAAAAACGATGTCGTATTTATCAGAGGAGTTATGTCCCAGTTGATGATTACCCGCTACTATTAATAAAGCAGGGTACCTAATTCGACGGGAGTATGGTCACCTCACAGGAGAAATTGATTAGCAGAAACCAAAAAACAGAATGTGACCGGTGAGGAAGGGGTGGGCATGTCACCTGAAACCAGGGAGGAACAGACCGAGGGGGGTGGAAATTTGGACAAAATAATAAGCAGGTCGGATGTTGTTTTTTTCCGAAGTAGAAAGGCCTTGAAATTACGAAATGTTGCGTAGTGCTACTGTCCGTAGGGCGATTGTCGGCTACTGAGGAGGACAAGTGCCCACAGGTGATGTACGGAGAGGTTAAAAACGTGGGCAAAAAAAGGGGGGAAGCGGAGAATGTACGCTCGTAAAAAAAGGCGGGTACTTCGAATTTCGATTGGTAAGCGACCTGTAAGAATAGAGACGCCGGAAAGGTATCAGGTGGTAAAATTTGGTAATTGTTCAAGACAACAGTAGCGCTGGGAATCTGATGCAATAAACAAGCCAGATACATGCAGGAATATCGTAGGTATCGACGACACGAAAGGGAAGTCGAACAGTCTCGAGTAGGAACAGCAAGCCGCTGGAACTATAAGTAGATTAGCGAATAGGCTCTTAGACATCTCGAATACCCCCTGATGAGGCCGCTAACTGGCGGCGGCCGAAACTAGTTGGGGATTGCCAGCTCCTTTCTCCTGGGGTTCCATTCCATTCTGGGGAGGAGGACGGAGGTGCCATAGCTAAGGCTGTGGGTTGTGCTTCATCGTTTTATCTGTTGTGGTACCTGAATTTCGAGATGTTGTTTTCACATGATCGCTGCGCAGTCGTGGCTATGTGTTAGGCTTCTAGTCGGTCTTAACTGACTTGCTTTCTTTCACTGAAGGACCATCTTCAGGCGAACAAAATGTACTATGGGCATCCAAGCTGTATGAATTAGGGGCAACTTTCAGTCCGGATGCAGCGATCATGAACGGGGCATTCTACTCGTGTGAGCGTAGCAGCCAGAGGCCACCTCAGTCAACTCGACACCCCCCCCCCGCCCCTCCTCATGGATTTTTTTCGTCCAGATTGCTTTACTTGTTTTTCTTCTTTTCGGTTTTTTTTTTTTTTTTTTTTTTTTTTTTTTTTTTTTTTTTTTTTTTTTTTT